GCAATTGCTTAACTCTTATATATAAGAGAGAAAAAAATCATTTATTATTACAAAATATAAGTTACGAACACATTTCTTTTTAAGTACCATAAAGTTATAATTTTTAAATTTTGAAATATAATAAATAAACTTTTTGTTTAATTGGTAAAACATGATGAATTCCTAGAACTTAATTATTGCCTCAAGATAAGATATCTCTAATTTTTTAATAAATAATATAGAATAGATTTTAAACACACGAAGGTGTTTTACTGGTTGATGTCTTGGTTATTAACAAAAAAAGAGTATTAGGTAATAATTTTGCGGTTATTTAAGAAGTTATATGAATAATAGTTAGCTGTCATGGTTTAAATGTATTACACTGGTTTAATATCAGTAATCTTACAATAACTACAGAATATTACACTATGAGGTAATAGTTAACTTATCGGGTAATAATAAATCTACGAAGAGATGACTCGTAGACGTTTTTATTATTATTATCCAAACAGATTTCTTAATACTTATTATTATATATTATTTATTGCTATAGCATGGTGTTATATGTAATAACTTATTACTACCCTAGTAGAAATTTGTCCAGTTTTCCTCAATATTGGTAGGGCGCTGGCTGGGTTTAGATAGGGAAAAACTAGAAAGGGAAATACTAGATAGGCCCCGACTAGGAACTAACCAGTAAAACTTGCCTAGTTGTGACTCGACTCTGACTGACTAGTTCACATTTAGTTTTCCTCATTAAATTCCAGTCTAGGCTGACTCAAGTTTTCCTCATCATAAACTTGTAAGGAAATGTAGGGAAAATCCCCTTGTTTACAGGTTACTAAGGATTTTGACGTTTTTCTTGATTTTACATTTCTTGACATTTAATTCCTGTGTTTGTTATATGATTAAAATAATGAATTATAAACTCTAAAAGATCGATGGGTTGGTGAAATTAAGGCAAGTTTAAATAAATACGGTACGGTAAGTTATTGCTTTATGTGTAAAGATATTTTAAAGTTTAAACCTAACCTTAGTTTTTTTTTTTAATTTTACATATGTAAATTTAATTTACAAGGCTTCTTTTGGACAAACATTTAAGGAATTATGTTTGTTTTGAAGATACAGGTTACCTTCAACTTAAGGGAGTTTATTTATTAACAGGCGTCTAGAAATCAATGGTCAAACATAATTTGTTGAAATTTCAAATAACTTTATTTTTTAAAAAACAAAATTGAGAATTTGAACTGGCGCAGTAGGTACCAGATGGTTGAAACTATGCGCAGTGGTTACCGGATGATCGTACCTATGCGCAGTAGTTACCAGATGACTGTACCTATGCGCAATATTTTTCAGATGGTTGCATCTATGTGCAGTAGTGACGTGCACTTTATGGATCAAATGCGCGACATTTTCGGCGTGAAAAGTTTTACTTACTGTTTCTCTCTTATTTTTGAGATACTTGAAGTATTCTTTTGTCTACTTGATTTCTACACGCTGTTAAAAATAACATCTCTACTTAAAACTCACCCGTTGTATTAAATTATCCATTTACTTGTTAGATTCTTCCAATGGTGCAGAAAAATTGATAGTGATTCAACGTCAAGTCATGGTGCAGCAAACAATATTGGCTTGTCACAAGAGGTTATACCAAACCAATTTACAACCGACAATAATAATTCCAAAAGTGATCGAACTATGTAATTATATAAATATAATAAAAGAATTTTAGCTAACGGCTTTTATTATTGGTTAAAAAATTTACAAATATTCCCAACCAGTTTTAAGCTAGTTTTCCCTACCAGATTTTCCCCAGTAGTTCCCCACCAGGAAAAGCATTACATGACTAGTCGGAAACTAGTAGGGATTCCTAGCGAGGCCCTCGTTTCATTTGGGGAAAACTAGCTAGCGCCCTACTGATTCCCCATTTAAATTTCTACTAGGGTATTTACTAATAAGATTCATTTATACCCAATAAACCACTGGAGTGGGGATAAAAAATATGCCGCATAGGCTATGCGAGTTTCGATTAGTTCAGTTAAGACTCTTAAGAGATTTAGTCGATTCCCATCATAGAATAGTAATAGTTGCACCATTAAGTGGAAACGTTTTTTTGTGTGCAAATTATGGAAAATTCCAAGGCAGATTGTCAGGAACTCTTAACTAACTAACTAACTACTAACTAAGGAACTCTTAACTAAGTGTACTACTGTAAAGAATATCACTCCAGTGGCATTGCACAGAAACGGCAGTTATATTTTCTTGGTAAAAAAATACTAAAAGTAATATTTTTATGAAGAATAATGAAATCATATTTTGTTACCGGAAGCTCATTATACATGAGTGGTAACTTCGGATTTTTAGTCAGTTCTAAAAGGATTTTTTTATTTTTATATACCGGGCTCGGTATATACCTACGGATATATAGGGAGCCTGGTAAATAGAAATAAAACAGGAAATATAAAGCATTAAAAAAATAAAAATTAAATTCTTTTAGAACTATTATAGTTCTAACTACAAATCACTGATTTGAAATCAGAAGTTACCACTCATCTTTAATGAGCTTCCGGCAACAAAATATCACTACATTATTTTTTTTTTAAATATTACTTTAATTATTATTATTTTTATGTACTCTAAATGTATTCATTTTTCAATGGCGGCTGGTGGATTTTGGCTATACCGATATCTTAGTTGGTGTGGGTCCCATGTCTTATAACTAAGTATCGGTATACCCAAAACCCCCCAGACGCCACTTTCTTTTTTTTTGTTCTGTTACACCTTAAATATTTTTAAACTTTTTCAAAAATAAATTTTCTTATAAATACACACTTTTATTTATTACCTTATACAATCGCACTGTTATAAATACATGCTATACTAATAATCATACATTTCTAATAGTTAAAATATGAATTGATAATTGCAATTAATTAAAATGTTTATTATTATTTCTTGCATTATAATAAACACCTATTGCCTTTTTAATACAAAGCTCTTGTGGATGAAGTATTACCTTAAGTTCATTTACTATAAATAGGCTTTTCTAATATAAAGCGCCTGTGGATTGACTATTAAGTGAAGACCAATTACTATAGTATTATATATAAGAATACTTTTCTAACATAGCGTTTTTTTTATTAATAGCTAACTAACTAATGTTTTAACTGTTACCGAACTAACTTTTATTAACAAATAAATATGATATACTTTAAGATGTGTTTACTATAAACCCATATGAGGTCGGCAAAATACAATGCTACGTTAAGGTGAATATAAACCTATTACGGTGTTTACAACCACTCCTTTCTCTCTGTATATATGTCTAAGAGGAAGCAAAGTGTTAAATTAACAGCGGATGGATTGGACTTTTTGTCCAATTCTGTAGACTTAAATAAAGGTGTCCCACAAGGATCAATCCTTGGACCTTTACTTTTTGTTCTACTCGTATACATTCATGATTTAATCAAGAATGATATAGTAAATGAAAGAATAATAATGTTTGCCGATGACACTGCCGGCGTCTACCAAGGTACTACTTTTGAAATGCTAACATCGACATTGAATTCATCTCAAGAAAACATGTTTAATTATTTTAACAAAAATGGAATGAAACTTAATTTGAGCAAAACCCAGTACATAAAGTTTAGTGACTATGGTTTTTCTAATACCCTTCCAATCTATCTTAAAAATGGATTTAAGGTTGAATTGGATTCAAAGTTTTTGGGTGTATTCTTAGATAGAAAATTTACTTGGAAAAAACAAACGGAGTATGTCTTAACAAATAAACAAATATTATTATTTATTACTTAACTTAAAATTTGTTGTACCAAAAAATGTAATGCTTAGTGTATATTTTGGATATGTATACTCAAACTTAAAGTATGGCATTATTTTTTGGGGAAATTCAGCACATATAACGGATCTTTTTGTATTCCAAAAAAAATGTATTCGATGTATATTTGATCTAAAACGAACAAAATCGTGCAGACCTATTTTTGTACAAAATAATTTACTAACTCTACCTGATATCTATATCTTTGAAGTTTGCTTATTTTACAAAAAAAATTATATGTTGTTTCAAGGCACTTGAATCGTAATCACGCTTACACGACAAGAAATAAAAGTTTACTATTAACGAAACAAACAAAAATTAGTACTGTATATAATGGTATTTCCAATTTCGCCATATTAGTATATAATAAACTACCTGATTCCATCAAAAATCTAAATCTTAAAAAATTTAAACCAGCTCTTAAAAAATATCTGGTTAGTAGGTGTGATTACAGTATAAGTGATTTTCTAATGTAAGCTTTCTTTGCAATTTTATTGTATTCTTAATATTATGATACACTCTGTATTTTATTTTTATTACTCACATGTACTGTTTATTTTGTTTTTGTAGAGATTTAAATTTTTTACTATTGTGACGTGTTCTTTGTTGTGTATACAATATTTTTTTTGAACTAATAAAGCTATTTCTATTTCTATTTCTACAAGACTATTAAAATGGCATTTAATCCGTCGTTCTTAAATAATATAGTGTAATTACTATTCTTCATACCTTGTTCGAAAGTACTTACTTTCGTCTCTAATTAATAGCAGGGACGAAAGGCTTCGCCTCGGGCATCATGACGCGCAGGGCCGAAAATTCAACATTCGGCCCTTGTAGTGTAATATACTATTGTATGTATACATGGGAATAAATTTATTTGTATGTGTCTCGTAAAAGTCCTACTTGACCTTTTTTGTGTGTTCAATACTAAACGTTTTTAAAATAACATGCAATGATTTTTTATGAAAAAATATAAAATTCATTCCAAAATGGTTAAATCTTAATATAAAATTTTAAACCTGTAAAAATGTTTTATTAAAGAATCTAACCTAATTCTTCTTTATCTATAATTAGCTAATTAAAAATGAAAAATTTTGGGTGGTAGGAACGGTATAGAAATACCGTATCTACCACTCGAAATTTAACAAAAGTTTCTTGGATTATTAAAAAAATATTTAATTATTACCTTTTCAACGCTGGGACCTCCTTCTGTAACGAATCGTACTATGACGGGTTTTTCGGAGCCAGCGACAAAACCAAACCCCAACGCAGATGATCTTTCCAACGTAACAACCCGTGGTTCCGGCTTCGGTTGCGGTTCTGAACTCTTTACAATCGGCGTCTCATACGTGGTAGTCTTGTTTAAATGACTGTAAATAAACAATACCAAATTTGTTATTAATTATACAGGATACTGAGTGATTTTATGAAAAATACATTGTAAAATCATTTAACGTTTAAATATTAGTAATAGGTTTAGGAGCTTTTTTAATATTGAAAAAAAATATATTAAATATACCGACGTCTTGACAAACATAAGGCGCTCAGCTGCGGAGCATTTATAGAAAATATAATAGCCTTAAGTACATTTGATAAAAACGACAATACAAAAAACGATTGATACAGGGTGTCCTGAAAATAGCGACATACCACGCGAGGGGAGAATTTTCCAACAAATTTTTAAGTTTAAGGATTTTAAAATTATATTTTATTTTCTTTATTTTACTTTAAAAAGGATTGAACACAAATTTCCTATAATGTTTAAAAATTAAAGGTTATAATTTGTTCATACTAACAAAGTTATCATAATCTTGTATATAGTATAGTATAGTATATATTATGTATCAAGTGTGATTAAATTAAATAAGTATTAAGTAAATAAGTATAAGTATAAGTTTATAAACGAGTTGCATATTAGGTATACTTTTTCTACGACAAATACTTATTATTATCTATAAATTATTTAAATTAAGTGACATCTATAAAACAGTAGTAACCAGCACGACTGTGAAAATGCCAAATTTTTATGTGAAAATCGAAATGTATCCCTTAAAAATGGACCGATATAGAAGCAGTTTTTTTACAGTGAAAATAAAGAAAATGTTTTATGGGCACTACACGGTGGAGTCTCCACCCGGAATTAAGTTAAATCTAGTTTACTGCCGGAAAAAATTAAAGGTCAATACAATATTCATATAAACTTTTCAAATATTGGAGTTAAAAAACTATTTAATAATTTTGTATTTTTGTATTGGGATAATAAAATAATTTTTACATTTAGTATTATTTTACAATAAGGGCACTTTATTTTAACAATTTTGTTGTTGCAAATAAGGTTGGTATTACGCAACGCAAGCGCAGATTCATGTTCATGTAATATAACACTGCGATAATTTTCGGGTCATCGAAATCAAACCTCACCGGACTATTTTTTTCTGAAAATATACCTATCCAATAGAAAAACCTTCGTTGGGTTTGTAAAAGTTAGCTCGATTTTTTTTGTATTTTCGACCTTCATATACCCCAATTTAGAATTATAAATCGATTTTATTCGCATATATTCGATTTATATCGTTAAGATTTTTTGTAGAAATGTAGTAACTGAACAAATAAACCCATTTTGTGAAGAACCTATATCCAAAACCCCAATTGTTGGGACCAAATATTGGCAAAAATGTTGTAAAATTTACCAGAAGAAGTAATTTATAAAATACGCACACTAAACTGAACTTTAAGTTTGCTTATTTGCTGGAAAACAATGTTTGTACAAGATTTTCCAAAATATTCATCTTTTCACACTCAACACCAATTTTTTTCACGATATCTTTGGAAAATCTGTAGGAAAAAATTGAATATATGAAATAGACTTGAAGAAAAGTACAGAGAGTTTGTTTTTTTATTTTGTATTAATTTTATTATTAAAAAACTTTTTTTATATAAAAAAATTGAGTAATTTGATTCATTGCTGGAGAATTTCATCCCTTCCACTTCTATCTATCGTTATTTTTTTGTTCTTAATTTTCATTTTTTGATTCATCACTGGAGAATTTTATCCCTTCCACTTTTTCTCCTTTGTTTTCTTGTTTTTCATTTTTATTTTCTTCCTGATCGTAGTCGAAAATATGTTTACTCCACCAACAGGTTTCGGCTAGTTTGGCATCTGGAGCTCGTTTTCTTCTGTATCTGAACTCAAATGGCATCCCAGTTTGATGATAACGCTCTACCTGGTCATCTGATTCTGTCGATAACTGTCGACTAAAGTAATCCAAATGAATGAAATGAATTTTTAGCGAATATTGTCGCCCAAAGATCTTATTTCTTTTAATAAGTTGTCCCATCCGATTTCGAGCAGAATTACCCTGGTAGCAGGGTCTGGAAATGTTTCTCAGGATTCCTTAGAAATTTGTTTGTCATTCATTTTAAACTTGACTATTCGTCAGTACAACGTGGGTCTTAAGATGTGGTGGAATTTTAGAATATGCATTTACATTTGCATTTACAAATTGACTATCTTTCCAAAACTTACCTTATCTATTGGTTATATCATGCAGAACTCATACAGTGCTTGCAAATGCAAGTCCGACCGCACTGGAAAGGACGGCTGTTCAATACCCGCGTGAAAAGAACAAGGATAGAACGCCAAATAGAATTTGATTGGCCAGAGCCCCGGATGCGTGCGAATTGTAAGCGAGGTCAACTCTGGGCCAGAGTCTCTGGCTGCATTTAGACTAAATGATTTAGTGTTAAGCAAACTGCGTTGGAGTGGAGATGCACATTTTAATTTTCTTTTTAAATATTTTATACCCGAATCCTAAAAATAAAATGTTTTGATTTTTTTCCTTGAGAACTAGGGCAACAACAAAAATAGTATTCTTAATAAAAAAGATTTCTCAAATAAAAATAACTAAAAATAAAAATAAAACTCTAAATAAAAATATAGACCAGTGCAGAAGCCTTTAAAAATGGTAAAAAGAGAAAAAAAATAACAGTAGGATGAAACCCATTGAAAAAGGAGGGGAAAATAATAAAAATTAAAGGAAAAATAAATTACGGGCGATCTGAGTTCGGGAAGTGAGAGGGGGGGGTTTTAAGGGTAAAAAATGGTTTATCTCGATTTCCGGCAAAACTACAAGTCCTATGGAAAAAAGTTAAATGTCAAAGTTGTAGGTAATAAAAAGATCTACAACTTCTGTATTTACAATTTTTTCACATAACCTCAAAATTTATGTGAAAAAATCAAAAAACCAAGTTTTTGGTTTTTTATTTTTATCTTTTTCAAAAAAAAATTTTTTTCCATGAAATTTGGTGAAAACTTACCTTTTTATGTCCCAAATACACTGTAATTTATTTGATTTGAAATATTTATTATTTCGCCTTATTTTGACTTAATATCAAAAAAGCACCCTAATTTTCAATCGAAAATTCTCGCGTGAAAATATCAGCTTTTTTCAAAAAGTCGTTGTGCTTTTTGTTCGATGAACTCTCTACTTTCTGATGGTGTAAAAAAATATACATTACTATGGTAAATGTTCTCAGAAAATACAAAAAATATTATAATGAATAACGTAATCAGAATGAAGTATCTAAATTCAATAGTATGATTTACATGTATTTTTATATTTTATGAGATTTTCTGACATAAATCTTATTAGAATTTAATAAATAAACTTTTTAACTAAAAAAAATTGCAACCATCACATTTTTTTGATGAAATTGTACATAATGATTAAAATAAATTTTCGAATTCGAGTTTTTTTCGTTATTCATTATAATATTTTTTGCATTTTCTGAGAACATTTACCATAGTAATGTATATTTTTTTACACCATCAGAAAGTAGAGATTTCAACAAACAAAAAGCACACCGACTTTTTGAAAAAAGCTGATATTTTGACGCGAGAATTTTCGATTGAAAATTAGGGTGCTTTTTTGATATTAAGTCAAAATAAGGCGAAATAATAAATATTTCAAATCAAATAAATTACAGTGTATTTGGGACATAAAAAGGTAAGTTTTCACCAAATTTCGTGGAAAAAATTATTTTTTTGAAAAAGATAAAAATAAAAAACCAAAAACTTGGTTTTTTGAATTTTTCCCATAAATTTGGAGGTTATGTAAAAAAATTGTAATTACAAAAGTTGTAGATCCTTTTATTACCTACAACTTTGCCATTTAACTTTTTTCCATAGGACTTGTAGTTTTACCGGAAATCGAGATAAACCATTTTTTACCCTTAAAACCCCCCCTCCCACTTCCCAAAGTCAGATCGCCCGTAATTTATTTTTCCTTTTATTTTTATTATATTCTTCTCCTTTTCCAATGGGTTTCATCCTACTTTTATTTTTTTTGGTTTCAAAAATTATCGACCCTGGTCTAATAAAACTCTAAAAATAAATAAACTGAAAAATTAAATTAAATGTTCGAACAAGCAATTATTAACGATTCGTCGAATTGTTTCTCTGTTTGGTCTGGCCTCGAACATTCCCGCAAATAATCTTTGAATTTCTCGTTCAGAATTACCAGCAAAATGCCAGATTAAAATCTGAACTTTTTGTTCCAACGTGTACCTACATTTTTTAATTAAATAATCTTTTTTACTAAAATTACTACCTCTTGGCAAGAGGCTCTTGCTGGCACCACTGCAGTTCTCGTTCTAATATCCTCGTGTCAAGCACGCTGCGAGGTGCGCGATGGGTATGCGTTGTCGTAGCCTGCCGGCTGGCCAATCAAATTCTATTTGGCGTTCTATCCTTGTTCTTTTCACGCGGGTATTGAACAGCCGTCCTTTCCTGTGTGGTCGGACTTGGATTTGCAAGCACTGTATACGTATGTAATTTTAAATTATTTTAAATTGGAGCTAGGTATACCTTTTTAATCAAGGTATATATACCTACATGCAGAACTTATATACGTATGTAATTTTAAATTATTTTAAATTGGAGCTACCTATACCTTTTTAATCAAGGAATATATACCTACATGTTTTACTTGGGCTTATATATTTAAAGTATTGTTTTGGCCTGATATGTGTTAGTACTTACATGTAAGGTTTTTGACATTTTGCTCAAAAACAACTAATATGGATAAGCCAAGAACTTATTCCATATAAAATTCATTTACAAATTAACTATCTTTCCAAAACATGGCATGTTTAACATGCCTTATCTATTGGTTATATCATGCATAACTCGGCATATACGTATGTAATTTTAAATTGGAGCTTTTTAATCAAGGTATATATACATGTTTTACTTAGGCCTATATATTTCGTTTAAAGTATTGTTTTGTATGAGGCGCCGTTTGTCCGTAAATTATTTTTGCTATATATAAGAATATTTTTTATATATAAACAGAGTGTGCCAATGCAAAGT